CTTCGTGACCTGGGGGCGCTGACCTGACCGTGACCCGAGGTCAACACCCCAAGTTGACCTCACCCAAACAAAAAGTATATCATTCGACGCGCCTGAGCAAGACGAACACGATGCTGCCAAAATCGCGGCTCTGCGGCCGTTTTTTGCAAGTTATTCACCAAAAACCGAACCGTACCTTGGGGCACTTGACCTGACCTCAGAGGTCACCGGTTGACCTAGGACCTTAAAATCGGGTATCAATCTCTGCGTCTTGAAACGGCGCACACGCTCGTTTTTTCCTCGACGCGCTAGCTCCACCAGGGGCGAAACGGCGAGGGGGGGGGTCGTACCCACCCACCCCCTTCTCGGCCGGCGCGTATGTAGAAAACCAATAGGTCCGGCGAGGGTTAACTCTCCTTAATTCCTGGACATTATGAACTCTGGCCCATTCAAGGCACTGGCCACTTTGAACACTGGACACGTCGTGCCCTGGACATTATGAACCCTGACCATTTCGAACACTGGACACATCGTGCACTGAACATTATGAACCCTGGCCTCTTTGAATTTACCCTGTCTGCATCCAGTTGGCCACATTTGGACCATGCAATCCCTGGACATTATGAACTCTGGCCCATTCAAGGCACTGGCCATTTCGACACTGGGCATATCGTACCCTGGACTATTATCGGGGTTACATGAGCACAGTAAATACGTATTTAGCCGCTAATTCGAATTGGGAAGTGGGAACGCATTACCGACTCATGTAGCCACCTGCTAGTACGAATCGGTGATCCGATCCGCGGTTACATGAGCAAAGCAAATACGTATCACGATCGGATTCACCGCTAATGCGAATCAGGAGCGTACTACCGACTCATGTATCCACCTGCTAATACGAATCGGCGGTCCGAACAAAATCCGCAGGGAAAGAGGCTTAGACGCGAATAGGACCAAGATACGTATTACAGGAACTATTTCTTCGCAAAAAGAAACATTAAAATGCAAAATAATAGGTATTTTTTCATTTTCTTCTTTTGAAATAATATTAAAAAAATATGTCGGTATTTTGTCAAGTTTTCAACAATAAATATAGTGAAAACCAAATAGTAAATATCCACATAATTTCAGTTGAAACATTTTTCTGACAGCACTACAGACGAATCAAGAGAGGCAAGTGCCCAATGAGTCAAAGCAAGACAACTTCATGTTCAACTTTTTTTGTTAAGTTAATTGAGAATGTTTTGAGCAGATTAAATGCAAAAAAGACATAAGATATCTAAAAAGTTAATTGTTTTCAAAACGGGCTTCGCTGAGGAAAACTAAATATTATAACCAAATATTTCGGCTTTATTGATCAGCCTTGTTCACTGGTTTGAAATACATTTTTTTCTCAAAAGCATGACCTAAAAATTCAAATATTCATATCGTGCCGTCAGTGATGACGATCTTCTAGCTTACGAAAAACCGAACAAATGAATCGTGGTGAAACACATTTCAAGGCACACTGTAACAGGCAAACGCACACATGTTCCTATCTCAACGCAATGTCCCAAATAGGGCTGATGGTGACCTTTCCGACCCCCCTGTTCATTGACGAATTGTGCACCTTAATCTCCAGTGCCTCACGGATAGTCCTACGCTTCCAGTTTCTTTCAACTGCCAATGTTTTCGCGTCTCTTGGATTTAATGATTTGTTGCATGAGTAGGCATGCTGAGCTGTTGCTGACGTGTCTGTGCGGCCATGTTTTAAATCAGCCATGTGCTCCTTCATTCTGGTTGATTTTGGACGTCCACTTTCTCCTATGTAGGACTCACCGCACTCACATCTGATCTGATAGACGGTGCCTTTTTTCATCTCAGGTGGCACTTTGTCCTTCACCTGCATTAAATGGTCTCGAAGTGTTCTTGACTTGTGTCCCGTTTTGATGTGGTGCTGCTTCAAAAGTCTTGCTATGGGCTCACTTAACCCCTTTACGTATGGAAGCGAAATGTATGTTGTGCGGGTGACCTCATTTTGATTGACTGTTTCCTGGTCTGTGTCATCTTTTTGTTGGTTTCGCACATCGAAGCCCTTTTTTATCACGTGGCTAGGATAGCCGTGTTGTCTGAAAACAGTCTTCAGATGTTCTTTCTCTTTGGCTTCTGCTTGTTTGGTACTTGAAATTTTCTCTGCTCGCCGGACTAGATTCTTGATGACCCCCACTTTCATCATTTCTGGGTGGTTTGAGTTGTTTCTGATGTATGCGTCGCTGGCAGTTGGTTTTCTGTAGACAGCGGTGTGCAGACCACCTGTACCGCTCCTGCTAACACGTACATCAAGAAACGACAGCTGGCCGTAAGCTTCTCTCTCTGAGGTAAATTGTATGCTGGGGCACACACTGTTCATGAATTGAAAGAACTCATCAAGAGCCGCTTCCCCATGAGACCAAATGACAAAAGTGTCATCTACATAGCGGCGCCAGTATGTTGGCTTGAGCGGTGCTGCAGCCATTATTCTATCCTCTAGATACTCCATGTACGCATTGGCCAGGACAACTGACAAACTGAGCCCCATTGGAGCGCCCTCTACTTGTTCATAGTACTGCCCCCGGAATATAAAGTACCTACACTCGAGACAAGCCATGATCAGTCTGCGGATGGAATCTACAGATAGCTCAGTTCGCTCAGCCAGCGTCTCATCGTCACCTAGTTTTTGGCACACTACATCAACAGCCTCAGCAACAGGCACTTTCGTGAACAAAGATATGACGTCGAAGCTAACCATTATATCCGAGCTCGACATCTCAATCTGTCTGACCTGATCGACAAAAACACTTGAGTTGGGCACGGTAAACTCAGTTTGACCCACTACCGGCCCGATGACCCTCGTCAGATACGACGCCACTTCGTATGCAGGTGAGTCGACCATGCTGGTAATCGGTCTTACCGGTACACCAGGCTTGTGGGTCTTTGGAAGGCAGTAGAGTCTCGGAGCGCTCGTGTGCGACGGTCGTAGTTTCTTCGCAAGGTCGTTCGATATGTCGCCGTTTTTCTTCAGAGAGTCGATTTCTTTTCTGAGCGCTTTCTCTTTTCCTGGCGTGGGATCATTTTTAACTTTTTTGTAAGCAGGATCTTCAAGTAATGCATTCACTTTCGCACTGTATTCTTCAGTTGACATAACCACTACTTTGTTGCCCTTATCAGACGGGAGGATCTTTATGTCCGTTCTTCTTTGCAATTCTTTCATAGCACGTCTTTCTTGAGTGGTCATATTATCTTGAACAGGTTTCGTTTTTGCCTTAGCGAGAAGATTGCTAAACTTAGATCTCGTCGCATTCGCCATTTCAATGTTGACCTCTTTTGACAGACCTGCCTCCACGGCTGAAATGATTTCCTTCACGGGTACAGCTTTGGGAGCTGGGGCGAATCCCAAACCTTTTACTAAGACCTGTGTTTCGCAGTCACTGAGATGTTTTCCACTATCCGTCACACACATCCGTCTATCAGATCAGATGTGAGTGCGGTGAGTCCTACATAGGAGAAAGTGTACGTCCAAAATCAACCAGAATGAAGGAGCACATGGCTGATTTAAAACATGGCCGCACAGACACGTCAGCAACAGCTCAGCATGCCTACTCATGCAACAAATCATTAAATCCAAGAGACGCGAAAACATTGGCAGTTGAAAGAAACTGGAAGCGTAGGACTATCCGTGAGGCACTGGAGATTAAGGTGCACAATTCGTCAATGAACAGGGGGGTCGGAAAGGTCACCATCAGCCCTATTTGGGACATTGCGTTGAGATAGGAACATGTGTGCGTTTGCCTGTTACAGTGTGCCTTGAAATGTGTTTCACCACGATTCATTTGTTCGGTTTTTCGTAAGCTAGAAGATCGTCATCACTGACGGCACGATATGAATATTTGAATTTTTAGGTCATGCTTTTGAGAAAAAAATGTATTTCAAACCAGTGAACAAGGCTGATCAATAAAGCCGAAATATTTGGTTATAATATTTAGTTTTCCTCAGCGAAGCCCGTTTTGAAAACAATTAACTTTTTAGATATTTATTAACCTGAGGAAAAAAAAATAATGACGCTTCGGCAAGACATAAGATATTAAGTTTTTAATTCAGTCACCTCTATTGCTACGGAAGTGCGCCACATTTGTATGCTATTCCGTTTGTAATGCGCATCGGGCCGAGAGCCAAACTAGATCCGTTTGACGTCACTGATACGACTTTGCTCATGTAGTCGGTGCACTGAATGCGTTCTTGGGGAGCTGATGCGAATTAGCGTAGTGCGTATTTGGAACGGATCGCTCATGTCCCCGAAACGTCCGAGGCACACGATTCGGGCCGTATTTCACAAGGACTATTCTTTGCTGACTGGAAGCGTCAAAATGCAAAATACTAAGCATTTTTTTTATTGGCTGCCTCGTAGAAAATAGCAAAAAAAAAATGTTGGTATTTTGGTTTAGTCTTTGCATGTGAAATAAAATGAATGAAATATTTTTATAGATAATTTTTTCTGACCACCCTGCTGTCGCTGCATGGCGAATCAGTGCCCACTGACTTAAAACAAGAAAACTTTGTTTTCATTTTTTGATTTCATGTTAATTTTAAATGTTTTTGAGCCTATCAAATGATATAAGTATTTAAAATTTAGCTCAGTCGTCCCGGTAAATGCCGCAACTGCGCCATGACTGTACGCTAATCCTATTCCGTTTGTGATACGAATTACCGGCCGTCGAGGAGTCAGCCCGGGTGAGCCAAACAAGATCCGTTTGACGTAGATAAAACGAATTAGTCTCATGTAACCGGTGCCGTAGATCCGTTTGTGGGGAGCTGATGCGCATTAGCGTAGTGCGTATTTGGAACGGATCGCTCATGTAACCCCGGTAATTATGAACCCTGGGCAGAATGAGTGCTCCCCGCTAAAACACGTGCTTATTCGAAAAACATACTTGGAGCCAGCGTCCTTTTGAAAAAAAAAAAAACGAACTATATTTCTCGTAGGTTCGCGCTCGCAAAGACAGTGGTGTGGTTCCGGGTCTATGTATTGGCTTTCCCACACTGTCTTTGGGTGAGGGAAAAAGCCCATAGCCGATCACAAACAATCAAATGATAAAGCTTTTGACAGAGCACAAGTATGTCTAACACAGTTGCTGGCTAGATACATATGCCAAAGCTGGCGGCGGTGGGGCGGACGGTGGATGTCGCGCCAAATCGAACCGTGCGCTCAGGTGACACGCGCGCAGTGAAATGGCCGGGCGCAGCCGGCTACCACTCGGGTCACATTGTAGATGGCGCTGGGCTCGCGCTCGCCCGCGAGAAAGGTCATTTGTGCTCGTGCGCGCAAAAATGCTGCATTTCTCGTAGGTTCGCGCTCGCAAAGACAGTGGTGTGGTTCCGGGTCTATGTATTGGCTTTCCCACACTGTCTTTGGGTGAGGGAAAAAGCCCAACAACCCCCAACCGAACCCGCGAACACATCACTGCTAACTTTGTCGAGAATGCAGCTAGACTGCAATTAATGCATTGGCTAACTGCAGATCAATATACTAAACTCAGCGCCATTGTTGCTCTTTTAACTACCGAGAGCTGTTTTAAAAATGAGTCCAGGGAATATGATTTGCCTGGGGTCAGCGCTCCTGGCACCGACGCAACGTTCAGACTAGCGCTGGAGCCGGGTGTGGCGCTAATTGGTGAGTCTAGGGGGATGAGCGGTCCCGATCCAAACGTCTCTGGCACCGATGCAAGCGGTCGGACCAGCGCTGGAGCTTGGTGTAGCGCTGCGTGACGAGTCTTAAGATGAGCGGCCTAGCGCCAGCGTCTCTTGCACCGATGCAGGCGTTCGGACCAGCGCTGGAGCCGGGTGTAGCGCTGCGTGACGAGTCTTAGAGATGAGCGGCCTGGCACCAGCGTCTCTGGCACCGATGCAGGCGTTCGGACCAGCGCTGGAGCCAGCTGTAGCGCTGCGTGACGAGTCTTAGAGATGAGCGGCCTGGCGCCAGCGTCTCTGGCACCGATGCAGGCGTTCGGACCAGCGTTGGAGCCAGCTGTAGCGCTGCGTGACGAGTCTTAGAGATGAGCGGCCTGGCGCCAGCGTCTCTGGCACCGATGCAGGCGTTCGGACCAGCGCTGGAGCCAGCTGTAGTGCTGCGTGACGAGTCTTAGAGATGAGCGGCCTGGCGCCAGCGTCTCTGGCACCGATGCAGGCGTTCGGACCAGCGCTGGAGCCAGCTGTAGCGCTGCGTGACGATACCAAGAGACCGCTGTGGCCCCTCCCTTCCCGTGCCGGGACCGGCGTCCGAGCCACCATCAGCCGCCACTTGTGAGCCGTGTGGTGCCGTGGAGATGCCCGGACGGCCAGTGGCGCTAGACACGCCAGCAGGAGCAGACGGGGTCACACTGCGCGTTGTTGACGGTTGCAGGTGGTCCACGTCTTGGACCCAGGCGTCAATTTGCAGCATCGCCTCTCCAGTAAATCATGAAAAAAAGGGAAGGCCATGAGTGTTGCACTGTGCACATGATAATCATCACGTAGAGTTGCGGGCCATGTAAACGACTGAGTTCAGAGCTTGCACGGCAGAAATGTGCTCACACTTAGCCTTCGTTACATCACAGTGGGCACGAGACGACATGCCTTATAACACATGTCCTGCTGAAGGACACGAGACGACTTGTCACGAGATTCATGCGTTGTTGATGGACACGAGACGCATGCCATGACACCATGCGTTGCTGAGGGACACAAGACGACGAGCCATTGATCGGGGCCCCGAGACGATGAGCCAATGATAGGGGCACGAGACGAGCCATTGATAGGGGCACGAGACGACGAGCCATTGATAGGGGCACGAGACGACGAGCCATTGATAGGGGCACGAGACGACGAGCTATTGATAGGGGCACGAGACGAGCCATTGATAGGGGCACGAGACGACGAGCTATTGATAGGGGCACAAGACGACGTGCCATTGCTAGGGGCACGAGAAGACGCAGCATTGCTAGGGGCACGAGACGACGTGCCATTTGTGAGGGGCACGAAACGACATGCCATTGCTAGGGGCACGACACGATATGCCTCTGTTAGGGGCACGAAGCGACGTGAGTTTATTAGAGGTACGAGATAACGTGTCATTGGTAGGGAACTTGGATAACGTGTCCTTGATAGGACGATTGGATAACGTGTCATTGGCAGGGACACAATATACGCATGATGCTCTTTTGCCCACTTCATCGCCATCTTTTATTGACTCAGTGCCAAGAATAGCCCCTTTTGACTTCGGTCAAATATAGAGGACGGCCACTGCGAAGTAATTAAAGAAATAGGGCACGAGATAAAGTGCCAGGTTGGAACACGAGATAAGGTGTCATTGGTAGGGGAACGAGATAAGGGGTCATTGGTAGGGACACGAGATAATGTGTCATTGGTAGGGACACGAGATAACGTGTCATTGATGTGGACACACGATAACGTGTGAGTCATTGGTAGGAACACTAGACAAAGAATCATTGGTGGAGCACGTGACAAAGTGTTATTGGTTGGTGCACGAAAACAACGCTTCATTGGTATGAGCATGAGAAGTCGAGTCCTTGGTAGAGGCACGAGGTCAACCACAACGGACACGATTAGGCAATGACCCGAATACCCAAAATAATGCCAACATTGTTTCAAACCAGGATATCCTTGTCTGAATGCACTATTATATCTAGGCATAATTGGATCCACTGTTTTACTGCGTGTCTCAAAGCGCCCATCATATTTGCCTCTAAGGAGGCAAAAATGCCTTAAGTTGAAATTGAAGATGGATGCAGTCCAAACACAGAATCTCGTATTATTACTTGGCTTGCTTTGAGCAGCTTGTAGGTAATTCAAGCGTAGGTACAATTAACCAATTGCTGCACTAAGCAACACTTTAAATGCATTTTAGTTTTAAATAGGTTAAGGTATCCCCACTCAGGTCAAAATATTAAAAAAGCAGAATGTATCGCAATGATCACTTGAGTGCAGGGAATGCAAGAGACGTGCCCCATTTGTGACTGGCTAGGTATCTTGCACGAGACGACGTGCTCTTGGTGAGGTACGAGACACTGTGTCATTGGTAGGGGCACAAGATGATGTGCCATTGGTGGGGAGCACGCGATAACGTGCTATGGTTAAAGATGCGATACAACGTGCTACGATAGGGATACGAACAGCCTGCCATTGGTATGGGCACGAAACGATGTGCTGTTGGTAGATACCCTGATTGGTAGTGGCACGAATCAACGCGCCGTTCATGGGGACACGAGACACCGTGCCATTTGTGAGGACAAGAGACGACGTGGTTTTGGTGGGAGTGGGGACGCGAGGCGACGTGCTCTAGCACAATCTGTCTGCGATGCGGTGGCGAGCACGGCTGGTAAATATGTTGCAATAAGAGAAATTGTGTCATGTTCCTCTGCTACCTCATTGCCTGTGCCCAATCTTAAATTTAACACGGGCAGGTAAGAACGCTTCCAGAGCCCTTCGCCCTATCTTTGAAGGGTGGACACCATCCGGCCCCAGAAAACCAGGCTAAAAGCGCGAGTGTTCCGAAGATTGTTTTTGGGTATGAACGAGGTAGATGTAAACTGCATAACTGATTCTGCTCATGTAGCAACTCCAGCCACCAGCACACCAACCGGCGACCCGTACTCTTATAATGTACTCCCATAAGGCAACACGCTATACCAGCGCTAACAGGGAGCCACATCTCTAACCGTGAGGCGACACTAGTTATGCTGTTCGTTAGTGGCACGAACGAGATATCAGGAAGACCGAACACTGCAGGTGGGGCACGAGACGACATGCCCAAGAAGAACGAGCATTACAGGTGGGCCACGAGACGACGAGCCAACAAGACCGAACATTACAGGTGGGGCACGAGACGACGAGCCAACAAGACCGAGCATTACAGGTGGGGCACGAGACGACATGCCAGGACACCAAGCACCGAATACGGGCACGAGATGACCTTCCATGACATTGGACACTGCATTTGGGGTATGAGACGATATGCAATTTTACTTCTTTTTTTTTTGCTATCATTCTTGTTATTATAATTAGTTTAATGGTAATATTCGTATTATCAATACTATTACTATATCAGCATTATTTATCTTTAGTATTTTTATGTTGAATATGACAACTCCGATCAACAGCAGCACAGCATGCCGGGCTGTTAGGGGGGGGGGGGGGGGGGCGGCACGACGAGGTTGTGTTGAGGTGAAACAACTTGCTCTTTGGGAGGAGGTTGTGACAATACGACCTGTGAGGGACATCACTGTACGTCTTTCTCACTTACTTTATGCGTGTTCTGAGACGAATGACCATATAGCCTGCCAACCGGCCTCTGACGGGTGAACGCCGTCGGCGCCCAGAAAACCACTAGGAAAGTGGAAAGGGAAGCAGACTATGGGCCGCCGACGGAAGGTTGCACGGAGGATGCGGTTGGTTAACCGCCTCCGACGCCGGTACTGTGCAGGCAACACATCATTGGCTCGTAGCTGGTCGCGCGGCGGGATGGGGAACAGTATGACTGTCTCAGCGCCCGCCGCTGTTTACCCCGAGCGCCAGCTCCCTCAGGTGGCCGGCTAGGCTACGCTGCCTAAAATCGGGCCGCGCGAGGTCGTTGCCGCCGGCGAGAATGATGACGGTGTCGGGCCTCCGCACCGCCACCTCCCCGATGACCCAGCGCCGGAAATCTTCACGACCAACACAGGCGCCCCGCCAGCCTGCGGCCTGGATGGGGCCGTTGGGAGCTATGCGCGACCCAAGGTGGGCGGCAAAGCTGTCGCCTACGAGCAGCAACATCTGCAGGCAATTTAGCGCATTATGAACGCAAAACGAAGAATTCATCAATTTGCTTGTCATTCTTTCTACCTTTTTGCGGTTTTACTTATAATAATTAACAATTTTTGGCGTCGTCTATATGCATTAATTAGTACGGCGGTTGATTTAATTTCCCTTTAGCCTGATAAATTATCTGTGATTCGTATTCTATTATCCGGTCGCGGTTTTTACGCTAATGCATCTAACTTGGCTTATTGATATTGCAATATGGGACCGCTGCCATGTCGCAGTCATTGCGCACCGTGACCTACTGCGATCTTCTTGGCGCCGCCTGCCTAAAAGACAATTATATAAAACATCGGCCGCTGTACGGCTAAGCCACCCCAATTCAAACTAGTTGCCCGACCACGGGGAAGTGCCAATGCTCGAGTGATTTCATCCTTATGGGCGTTATCCGAAAATTTCCGCATTATACTGTTCCTATTGCTATAAATACAGCATTTATTATATAGTGCCGACCCGTTCGGGACCATCTGCATATTGCAAAGGTTATGCACATTACTAGCCCCGATGTTTAGCTAACGGAAAATTTATGAAGGTGGTTGGCGGGCGGCGGGCTCTTACGTGACGCTATCCGGGAGAGAAGCCTCTGCTACTTTGCCCAGAGGGAGTAATTTATCCCAAAGTTTTGACTCCCATTGCCCAAATTGTTTGGCCGTCTGGACTAAGGTGGTTGAGGCAGGCGATGCACCGAGACGCCAATATAGCGGCGGAAAACTCATATGCACTAACTAATCCATCGAAATATTTCATGCCAGTCTGCTGCAATGGCTGTAAGTTGTTTGCCCATCACTCACTGAGGTATCTGTCTCCGAATCTGGTCAATGCGACTCGCCCTATGCGGGAGAGAGGTCAGTAGGTCAATGCCCCGGGGGCCCAGTGGGCAGGTCGACCGGACTAGCGTCCGGGCCGCGCCGGTCAGGCACCAGACGCCGAGCCCCGAGGCATGAGCACTGAGCAGCTGATGCGGCCGGCGACCGTCCACGGCACAGACGGGGAAGGAAACCGGTAGGCGGGGACGGAAACAGACCGTACACACAATTGTTCGATGAGCCACATAACTGTGGTATTACATGCTGCACCGAGCTTGGAAGCAGAAAGACGGTGAGGCGACACCGAAAATTTAGCCAATCTTTGTAAAGCAAAACGCAATTCAATATCAGCTCTTCAACGCTGTCAGACGACTAGCATCCACTCCCCGGCATGCTAAATTGAGATAAAATACGGAGTGCTCATTAGCTCCGGCTAGAATAAGCGCCGCTCTAATTAGCACCAGAGCTCACCTGATGGGAGGTCCAAGCCGTTCCGCCTTTTGTCCATGCCCTTCTCAAAGCGCGCGCGGTGAAATCAAATGTCGCGCCAAATCGAACCGTGCGCTCAGGTGACACGCGCGCAGTGAAATGGCCGGGCGCAGCCGGCTACCACTCGGGTCACATTGTAGATGGCGCTGGGCTCGCGCTCGCCCGCGAGAAAGGTCATTTGTGCTCGTGCGCGCAAAAATGCTGCATTTTGTTCGCCAACAAGCCTGGGGTTGGTGAATCGACAAAGTGACGACAATGTGGGGTTGGTGAATCGACAAGTTCGGTGGTTATGCGAATAGGAACCAAACTTGTAACAAGGAGCCAACTTGTAGGTTTGGTTTACAGTATCCGTTTTCACGACGGGCTATCCGGCAAATGCACCTGATTTGACCAAATCTGCACCTAATTTCTTTTACAGCAAATATCTTCATTGTTATGAATTTATTTCAGTGTTTTAATCGATGATGCTCTCTGATAATATGGCAGAGCAGGCATATAAGCAATTATTGCAACCCTAGCTGATAGCTGATAAGAGACACACTGAACCTGATTTGACCAGATCTGCACCTATTCTGTAACAGATGTGCACCAAATGTGTACCAGATGGCCGTCGTGAAAACGGCTAATGTAGAACTAGACACACGCTATAGGATGTTATGAAAATAACTGCACTGGGGTGCCTGGATCAGAACTATGCACGTGCAGTTAATTCATATCTTATTGTAGGTAGATATCCACACCAATCTCATGTGCTTCCAAACATTTTTGGGATGTTTCGGTCGGCCCCCGGTCAACAGACATGGTAGCCCAAATCTATAGTCTGTTCCATATCAAGCTTGCAGTCGGAGTTTCTTCGGCAGATCGCTCCTCCGCTCAAGAATTTGCGTCTTAAAATGTAAGAGCTGTATGTACAGAAATCACGCACTGCTTTCAGCAGGGCACTTCGGCTGCAAACTTGAAACGGAACAGAGTATAGTCGGATATGAAGTCTTCTAAATCCATAGACTTTAATGCTAAATTGACTATATTTGAGAGGGTTTTATGAAGATACATGACCAGATACAGAAAAAAGCGAGATGCTATCTTGTAGAATAAATCGTCTACTATCTGCGACTTTTGAAGTGTTTTTCAATCTGAGGTACGGAAATCGTGTTCCCAAGAGACTGAAAGTAGCCATGCTTTACATTAGACCCAATGGCAAAAATTCGGAATTTGACGAAATAGGCCATTTTTACGTCTGATTTATGAAAATTCTAGACAGGATATGTAAAAACCCGAGATGCTATCAGGTGGGAAATTTCATTGTCTATTACCGCTTTTTGAAGTGCTTTTCGATCTGAGACCGGCAAATCGTGTTCCCAAGAGACTGAAAGTAACCCTGTTCTACAGCAAGACAATGGCAGAATTTTAATATTTGATGGAAGATATCTTAGGTGATAAAAACCTTACTAGTTACTACTAATTGCAATGCTTCATTGGAAAGCTCAACACTGGCACTATCATCGGTCTTTGCATTGCTATTTCACAGAACAACAAAAAATAACGTTTTGAAGCCTTTGAATATTGACTTACTTTTCATCGACGCGCTAGATCCCCATCACCACCAACAATTTTCCGGGAAGTCAGGATTTTGCAGATATTTAAGCCGAATTGCAGAGCTGTGTTAATACTACGGCACTTAAATACACATTTTAAGAAAACTGCTTTTTTCTTAGCATCACTTAGGTCTCAGAAACAGCAATATGTCAATATCATGAGGAAAAATAAGTGCAAATGATCGCGCAAGAGAGTATCCTTAGCTCCCTAGCAACCACCTAGCAACGTAAGGCAAAATAGTAAACAACTCCTGTTGATATCAGGTACTCAGCCTTGGAAGCACACTAGACGGTCAATATACTGGGCTTCATACTGAATTTTGCATACCAGAATGGATGTTTCAAACTAAAATTATTTTTTCGCGAAATTTATCTTTGTTGCCCTACTATTTTTCGTAAAACCGAGACATACAGACTTCATGATATCAAAAATAATATTGTGATAATGAAAACCGCCATAGAAAACAAGATAATTGCTGATATCATGCCTACTAAACTTGGTCCTACCCCCTAATTCAATATACCCTGGTTTCGGTTGGTTTCAGGTTCAGTCCAAGCTCAGTCTGGGTTTCGGTGGTTTGGCCAGGGGTCGAAAAAAGCGTGGAGTGATACAAACTTTCAGATCCCAGCTTCTCATTTTGATACAAAAATTCTTATATCTGCTTTTCTAATCGAACATATTGCTCTAAAGCTTACTATCCGTTATAGGTAAGTGTTTTTGATTGATATAAGGTCAAAAACCTACCATAGCTTAACCCTCGCCCGCACATGCCATTTTCCCATCCTAGAACGCACATGGGGGGGGGTGGTTGCCACCCCCCCCCCGCGCCATTTCGTTCCTGTTGGAGATAGAGCTTAGCGGTAGGGGAAGTTGGGGCAATGCCGGAGTTGGGGCAAAGCCGAAATTCGAGATATTTCGAAAACCGTAAGACATGGATGCCACCTGTCAGTGATGCTCTGAAGCTTAAGTGACTACAATTATCGCATGTTTGTTACGAGTCGTCATTCGGAATACTTCGACTGTGAGGGCGCCAAGAGTGTTTTCAAGGTACGTTTCCCTTGTACTACATGCGCCTTTGAAGCGGCATTTTTTACTCATTATGCTACCGTTTGTCTGGCCAATTCGGTCAAGTAATCTTTAGCATGTCTTTGCATAAGTGTGCTGCCTATTTGAAATTTATACAGCACGTTGAAAAGTTATGGGCCTGCAAATGAAAGTATGGCTGGCTGGGGTAATGCCGAAAACGTGCGATTACGCACGTGTTAAAAGCACGCTACGTGGACTTTACTGCTGTAGAATAGCAACGCGTATTTTTAGTCACACAAATTACACTTTCAACCGACACAACGGCCTGTTACCTATAAGGAATGATTTACCTGGCATTTTCTTATTATATCACACAATTATAACTTCCAGTGTGCACCGCGTCCTCAAGCTCTTGAAACGTGTGTCAGCTTTCATGAATTCTGGATAAAGTTTGAGATAAAATGGCAAAACATCAATGTCGGCATTCCCCGTAGATCATTTCTCCCATTTTCGGCTTTCCCCGCAGTCCGGGGCAACGCCGAAAAAGTCACTTCTTTGATATTTTTAGTTTGTGCGCTTAACGGCATGCGAATTCATCAAATGCGCCTGGTATGTTTGAAAGGCAAAAGACTGGCCTCTCGAATGACGCCAACAAGAATAGCGTATGTTGTCTACCTTGCGTGCTACGGGCGTCAGAAAAAAAGTCTTCGGCGTTCCCCCAACTTCCCCTATTGACCAAAAAGATTCTTTGGGAAGAGACAAATCCAACGATACCCAGTTTTACCTTCTCAGGTCAGTCATTGACCTTCCAGGTCAGGTCAAACTAAAAAATGTTGCTGTTTTGGGTCACCGTTGGATATCAAGTGCGCTGCTTATCAAATGCCGATGACGATGGTGTTTTCTGGTGCCAAGCCAGCTAAAACCTCTTTGTCACACTACCCGACCAGAATTTTGCTGCTGAGGTCATTTCTGGTCAAGTTAGGTCAAGGTCAATTATATGTGTTTGTATGTCTGTGTGTATCTGTGTGTATACTGATGTGTGCACCGATTGTTTTTGGGTCCATATTACATGAAATCATGATCAGAGAAGCTTTTACCAAAAATGCAGTCAAAAAACTTCACAAAAAAAGTAAATTCCGCTTGCCTAAAACGCAATTATCTTAGATGACCTAGGTTGACCTTGACCCTGACCTTGACCCCTGTACATCGTCGAACAACATGTTCCATGATAGGTGGGAGGTAATACTGGCAAAAAAGGCCGAAATCAGGGTGTCAAAAGCTCACAAGGCCCATGGCAAACGCAAGATGTTGAGAATTGGCCATTTGGGTCATGATATGACCTGAAAAACAAGGTCATATCTCCGAAACCAAAAGTCACAGAAACTTCAAATTTTCAGTGGACATCAAGAAAGGATAGAAGAGCAGCTATACGAAAAATCAGCCCTCTAGCTCTAAAAATGTTGAGTGCAGAGCAGAAAGACTACCTGGGGGGGGGGGGGGTGGCAACCACCCCCCCCCCATGTGCGGGCGAGGGTTAATGCTTCAGCACCTAAAATTGTCCTTTTCGTCGTCGTCAAGTTCCACTGAGAGTCGGCAGCGACACGCTGTTTTATTGAGGGTCATAGGGCCGCTTCCGTGGGAGCCAAGGGACGGCGAGCGCATCTGGAACACGTTACCGGCACCAGGCACGGCCAAGGACAGTTACTTTCGATCGGAGACGAGGCTGGGTGGAAACTGGGTGGGAGATGACTCCCTGCGTAGATTTGGAGAAAATGTGCAGAGAAACAGCAATGACGTTATCAAAACCAAGGACAGTGAGACACATCATTGGATAAACATTGCAACTACATCATTGCTTTGCAACTACATCCACTTGTATGCAACGGCTGTATGCGAAAACTGGGCAGAATTATTACATGACGTACGAGAAATTGACAGTCTCCACTCGCAAAATAAATGACATGCACACATCATTTTCGATGCAAACAATAACGCAAAGGAATACATCCTTTCATGAACTCATGTGTCATTGGGCGGGTAGATCCTCGATAAAATTGATTAGATTGACAGAGATCGGTAGATTGGACCGATCCTATAGGTACATTTACGAAGTCAAAAAATATAAAATAAAGGTAACACTCACTCATTGGACTGATTCCCTCAGCTCGCTATGGCGCGCTTCTGCCCGTCCAAAATAGGAAATGTTCACCACAAGCCTGATCAGAGCGCTCACTGCTGCCATTGGAGTCTGAAGTAGGTCGCCGCGGGGTATTTTAGAGGTGAAACCATATTTTTACCGTTACGGTGTTAAGGATTAAATACATACATTGCAAATTAGAAACGGGATTTTTGATAATGCTCACCACACAAAAATTTTCAAATTCAACACATAAAGTGGTGAAAATATTAGAAACTTTTTATCGTTAACGTTTAAAGAATGTGATACAAAATAAAAAGGCCGATTTTCCTTTACTAATGAACATATTTAAGGACGATAAATAAAATAGATGTCAGATTCTTCAAACCGAGGAATACACAGGCTTAACTAAGGTTATGTATCATCTTGTATCCATGTATCGGT